ACACAGCCAACATCACACATCACTGCATCAATAAGACACAAAACTTTTCTTGTCTCTCCCTGCATAGTTATCTGCCATCCACCTTCCGGCATGGCAACAGACATCTTTGCCCATTTTTAGCATGTTGACCACTGTCAGAAGGCAACAAATTTTTTTTTTTTCAAAATTAGGCCAAAATTAATGCGTGCGCTGATGTCATCCATAAAAATTACTTGCTGTGGCCTAAGAGATAATTCAAGAAAATGTTGGTCATCCCTTATATGTCAAAGGCTCTTGAGTTAGTTATATTTTATCAGTTTGATCCATGTAATCTGGGTCACGATGATGTTGTTGTGTTCACTGTGGATGTTGATGTATTATCGCAGCGCAGCAACACAATATTATATGCAGTATTTTATTTTCTCAGGTAATTCGTATTGCTTGATTTGTCTTTTTTCATTTACTTACCATCTAACTATTGCCAAACATATTACGGTGTTCCATGAATAAAATTCCAAAGCAAATGTCGGCCTTTCTAGTTTAATTTGTATCTTGCATATCATCATTCTCAATATCAAAATAGAAAATAAAACATGTATTATTTTCACTTTGATTTGTGTAAAACAAAGCTGGCAGGAAAAAAAAGCCTGAAGAATAAAATCACTGAAAGATCAAACTTCCACCTTTGACAGATTCTAAAATGTTCTGGTCTCTGAAGTTTGAGGTTTTAAGAGAAACGATAATAAAAAAAAAAATTGCAACTTGATTGAAACTGTTCTTTATGAGTGTTCAGAAAAAATGGTACTACCGGGTAATCCTTTTGTGTTCTATTTTATCACTGGCAGTGGAATTTCCAGTTGGAGCTGCAGGAACAGACGTCAATCTGACAGGTGGGAATGATAATTGACATCAAAAATGATAGGAAGTATCATTTATGTTAAACTTTCCACTGTCAATAAGTTTTGTTTTATTAAGGTTTAGCTTTATATTTACATGACTGTGCCCCAGCAAACTGCAAACTCATGGACTGATGAAACAGGAACTAAGGATTACATTAATTTTGTTTCGATATGTCGTTTCTATGAGAAGTTATGAGCCTTTAAAATTCAATAAAAATTGGTAAAAAAAAGTGCAATGTTTACATTTAAAAACCTGTCAAATATTCAGATTATATATTTGAGCCTGTTTCATGCTTTCATCTGACTTTTTTTTATCATTCTCTACATTTTAAGCTTTAAATCATAAAAAAACATAATATTTTCTGTAAGATTGATTTTTAAGTCTTACAAAAGTGTCCTTTGTATTCCAGATTTGTTCCAGAAGTCTGTGAAGAGGCGCTATGAGTTGAAACTGACTCACTTCAAGCCTCTGATCTGGAATGATGACTTCACACTTAGCCTCAGTGAGATCTTCACCCAGTTAGAGTTGATACAAAAATCAAAACATAAAAGGTCAGAATCAATGAGGGGGGAAGAGAGGAAAGAACTTAAGTCATTAGACGACTTGTTCAAGACAGATGTCACAGGACTGTCCACAGCACCAAGGTGCATTCTGATTGAGGGTGAAGCTGGAGGGGGGAAGACAACGTTTCTGTCCAAAGAAGCCCTAGATGCCGTCTCACAGAAAACAGAGCTGGGCAGATGGCACGACATCGTCCTGTTGATCCGACTCCGGGAGGTGAGAGAGGGGGAGACCATAGAGGAGATGGTGTGGGACCAGTGTGTTGATGAAACAACTGAAGGTATTGAAGCACAGTCCATTAGAACAATCCTACAGAGGAACAAGTCCCGTGTGCTCTTCCTCCTAGATGGGTATGATGAGCTGCGGCCTGAGGCCAGGGCAGCTGGGCAGGCCATTCCCAAACTGCTATCTGGCAAGATGTACCCCAACAGCACGATTGTGATCACCTCCCGACCCTCAGCAGGAGTGCAGCAGTACACCCGGCCAGACTGTCATGTACATATCATGGGCTTCTCCCGTAGACATGTAGGGAAATACATGCAGCAGTATTTCACTGTCGTTGGGAAGCAAGAACTGGCAAAGAGACTTGCTGTACATATCAACAGTAATGAACTTTTAAACACTTTAATCTATACACCAATGTTCCTGATGTTTGTGTGTCTGCTGTGGGAGGAGGACCAAGAGATGGTGTCTACTGGAACAATGATGGGGCTGTACGACAACCTGCTGACATGTCTGGTCAGAAAGTGCTGTGAGCGGGAAGGAGTGGACATGCCAACAGAAGGGCTGCCTACAGAGGTTGCTGAGTCATTACTGCAGCTCGGCAAGCTTGCACTAGAGGCACTGCTGAGGAATGAGACCCCGCTTGATCTTACAGAAGTAAAGAGAGAAAAGGTTAATTGGGAGTTACTGTTAAAGCTGGGTGTGGTCTTCTTAGAGGTTTCTTCCTCAAAACTGCATCCTAGGAAACAGCTGAACTTTTCACACAAGACCATGCAAGAGTTCCTGGCCGGACGATATGTAGCTCATGCTCAAGTGAAGCAAGACATTTTTGAGCTGCTGCAGCTCACCTCCATAAGCAAGGCACTTGAACTCAGTAACCTGCTTCAGTTCACATGTGGCTGTGACTCACAGACAGCACAAGCTGTGATGGAGGAACTAAGCAAGCTCAGCAGTAAGGAGTTTTCACATTTACGACCAGATGACTTTCAGGAGGAATCCCACCTACCTGTAAAGCCAGATGTGGAGAAATCAGTTGAAACTTACACGAGGTTCATGTTGCTGTGCCTGAATATCCTGAATGAAAGAAAAGAGCAGGGTGTTCTGCAGGCTGTCAGCAGAGCCCTGCCAGTTATCTACTTGGACCTCGACAGTAAACAACCTGCTGCTCTGCAGTATTACTTGGAAAACATCCAGTCATCACATCTCCCTGATAGAATGATACTGTCAAGCCTAAAATCATCTTATGATGATAAATCAGAAGCTCTTCGGTACCTGGAACAGATTTTCACCTCGCGTGTTCCCGGCCTGCAGTTAGACCTAAGACTGAACTATGTAACATTTGACTCACCTGATCTGACAGCCAAGCTGGTTTCAGTTCTGAAGAATGTTCCCTGTCTGAGGGTGCTGGGTCTGTTAAGCACAAACCTAACACCATCATCACTCCAGCCACTTGTGCAGGGGTTCAGACACATGTTTCTGTTAGAGGAGCTGGATTTTACTGAGAACCATGACCTTGGTGATGCTGGGATGGAAGTCCTACAGGTTGGGCTGTCCAGTGTTCCACACCTGGCTGTACTCCGTCTTGGAGGGGTAATATATGGAGTCAACATGACAGCTCTGGGCATGTCATCCCTGGCTCCCAACATGCGCCACCTAGTGGGACTAAGAGAACTGGATATAAGTAAGAATAAGATCGGTGACACTGGGCTGGAATCTCTCACCACCGTCCTCCACACCTTCACTGCCATGCAGGTGTTGGGCCTGGAAAGTACCGGTATCAGCCCCACAGGCATGCGCACACTGGTCCCTGCACTGTGTAAGTTAACCAGACTGATCAAACTGGACATTAGTAGTAATGCCATAGGAGACCCCGGGCTGGAATGCCTAGCTGCTATCCTCCACCACCTCACAGCCATGAAGGTGTTGGTTCTCAGTTGGACAGGTATCAGTGACAGGGGAATATCATCCCTGATCAAAGCTCTGCCTCACCTGGTGCAATTACTGGTGTTGAATGTGAGGTCCAATAACATAGGAGACTCAGGGATTGTCTCACTGGTGCAAACACTCTGCCAGCCCAGCAGTTTGGACATGGAACAAAACCCACCTGGTGACAAGAGTCTGACCACAGCCCCTCACTATAACACCACACTACAGGAGCTGTACATCGGGTTGAATAGGGGAGTAACAGGAGCCGGACTGGGGAGGGTCACACAGCTCATCAGCACACTGCCGTCACTGACCTGGCTGGACATGTCTGGTCCCGGGGGCACACCTGCACACCTGTCTGACACCGCTGCCATGGATCTGGCCGAGGCTCTACCCAGACTCCCTGCCCTGGAGCAGCTGAACCTGAATGACATCTCCATGGAGCCTGCAGGGTTCCAGGCTGTGGTGCAGGCTGCTGAGGAACACCCAACACTGGAGAGGCTGTTGTGAGTTATATTCAATTTGGTTATCCTATAGACATGCCCTCCAGGTTATCTTAAAGGGACTCTAATGAGATATTAAGTATTTGATAGAATTCCAACTGATAATATATGTGAACTGTACTTTTCAAGGCTGCACTATTAATAACCTACCTAATAGATAGACAGCTGTTCAGGTACACATACTTCTATATGCAGGCACCAAATGGTTTATGAGTCTCTTAATCAGTTTTACTTCACATTCTGTTGTTTAGCTATGACAATATGATGTGATTTGATGTAAGTAAGCAACTCTGTTTTCCATTTTTCCCATATACAGGTACAATAGGGAGCTAGTTCCTGAGGGAGCGGACACCACAGCCAGCTGTCTGAAGCTGGAGTGAGTTCCCAATATGGCGACCTGTTCTGTTCATTTCCTCAGCTCAGGTCAGTATACTGTATTTGTTTGGGTATAGTAATGCTAACATGTTGGGGACATTGGTATAGAACTGATTTGATTTCACAACATTACAATGTTTATTTAGCATATTAAATTTGCATTTTGAAGATGATAAAACTAACCGTAAGACAAGTATACAACCCAAAATTTTATCAATGCTTTTATAATAATGCTACGAGCAGTTGGAGACAATGCACCAGAAGCAAAGAGAGGAACAACAACCACAAAATAAAAATAAAAAAAAAAAACACAAAATATCTTAGCTTCCTTGTGTCCTGACTGCCATGCAAAGATACGGCTGATAAGCCACACTAGACGCTGCACACAGCCAAAAAACCAGACCTAAGTGCTAATATCATCTTATAAGCTAATAAGATTATAGTTAAGGCATCCTTCCATCTTAAAAGATGATATTAGCATTATAGTTAAGGCATTATAGTTAAGGCATCCTTCCATCTTAAAAGATGATATTAGCATTATGGTTAAGGCATCCTTCCAGACCTAAGTGCTAATATCATCTTATAAGATGGAAGGATCCCTTAACTATAACGCTATTTCATGCTAATTAAAGCACCAGTGCAGTAATTACCCAAGCATCATTTTGCCCTCCAGTCTGGAACCCCTGTGTAAGTACACCAGCAGGTGTAAGGTGTGGGGAACCACAGGTGTGCTAACAGGTGTGTTTGTTCCAGGTGTGGCTGTCCCGACAGGTGCCCTCCAGTCTGGACCCCCTGTGTAAGTACACCAGCAGGTGTAAGGTGTGGGGGACGGCCTACGTGGACAGGGAGAAACTGGACATCGACCTGCCGACAGCCGAGCAGTTCTACCAGAAACTCCTGCAGCTAGAAAACCACTTCAGGGAGAAGTACAGGGAGGTCAGGTCAAAGATTAGGGGTCAATGACAGCTGAACTAGGTCAGAGGTCAAGTTAGTCTTCTCAGGAATTTGGTTTTAAATTTGTTATGTGAGGAGAACTTTGGTTGATCTGTGTTCCTTGAAAGAACTTCCTACAGAAGTAAATTATGACACAAGAAAAGAGATCAGATGGTCAAAGACCCAGAAGACAAGACTTTTAGAACATCCATAACTAACGAATTAGAATTATTTGAACAACTTGAAGTAATAGGTTTGATGAGTAAATTTAAATTATAGGAATATGCTTTGATCTCTATAAAGAAGTTTTCATGAAAAGATCGCTCTAGAAGGAAAGAATCACTGAATTGTCAAAGTAACATTTAAACTACACAGAACATTAAATGCTCATGAGGTGTGGCCAAAAGTCAGTCCCCAAAGGAAGTTTTCTTTTGAGTACAGTCTGCTTCGCCACTGAGGCATCACCATATTTCTTCTGTCACGTAGTGCTTTTCACAGGTCATTCCATTTTCTTAACATCGCAGGAGTCATCAGTAAATTGTGTGATTATAATTCTGTAAAATTTACAGCCAAGCAAACAGTTAAAATTTGTGTCTTGTAAATTGAAAGAAATACTTAATGTACTTTGCTTTAACAATGGACTTAAACTTTGCTTGTAACACTTGAGGCTGTCTGTTTTATTTATAACTACATACATTCTATATAAGATCACCCCCTGTTGTGTAGTAGATTCTTCCATTCCAAAATGGCAGTAGGCTGAGAAGTTAAAAAGTTCCGGAAAGTCGGTTCCAGAAGTTGAAGGAAGTTTTCCGGTGACATCCATGAAGAAAGTAAGTACAGATCCCGTCTGTCTACTGTTCAGTGTTTCAAGATCCACTTTTTTTGTTATTTATTGGCAATGTGATGTTGAAAAACAGATTAGAAAGCAAATATCTGACTGAGACCAACGCAATGTAAATTAAATGTTATTTTGCCCTTTGGACTTAACGGGCGAGGCAGGCATCCAAAGGTTTTCTGGGTCCAAAGGGTGAGTAAGCTTATCTGCCTATAAATACCTCAACCGGCCTCAACCGGCCTCAACTGGGTGCAGTGTACACTAAGGTTATTACTGCTCTGGATATATGTGATAATCATTATAAATATTCATGAGTTTTTTCAAGTCATAACTCCTAACTAATACATTTAAATCAAGTGGAGTCACAAATGTTTATTATCACAAAACCCAATAATTATCCACTGCCTTCAAAGAAGAAGTCGAACCCCATAATAGCTAGCGTAGTAGTAGAAGTAGCTGAAGTTTTTTTCCAGACAGTTGTTACCTGTCTCCTGTTACTGTATTGCAATGAGTATTTATACTCGATTGTAAAAGCAATTAGCCTTCGGGCATGATTTTGCAAATATGCTTTATAAGGCATGATAAGTTTCAGTATTAAGTATTAGCTCCTTTTTAGGGAGTGATACAGTCATGTACTCCCGTGCTGCAAAATATCCACCCGCAAATATGGACTAAATCCACCGCCGGTTTCCCCTGTATATCTGCTGGGTTTCCATGCTACACAAGCTTTCTTACTTTCCTTATTTAGACTAAATTTACAGCGGCTCGACATAAACAAACAAAATGGCGGACCCAGGTGCAGAAATGAGTCCTTAGCGCCATAAAAAAACTCACTCGGGTAAAAACGTCAGAGTTACATTGTTTTTCCTATTCATGATTGCGTAGACAATGTATCCATAGTGTTGATAAGTGTTCCTAAACCATGTTGAATACAACTGGATCACATCCACCCTCAGTTGTTGCGTCGGGAGGTCAAGAGCTTGGAGCCTCTCTTTGTATGAGAGATGGGACACTGACTCCACTAGCTTCGTGGCACGTCTTTGTACTCTCTCAACCATGTCCCTGTCCCTCTTGGTCCTGAGGCACCAAACCACTGTTGCATATTCCAGATGTGGATGCACCAGACTCTTGCATAGGGGTTACAGAAAGGCCTCCTTGCCCAGGTATTTAAACGTGTGCCTGATTGCACCCAGAACCTTGTTGGCCTTGTTCACTTGGACCTGGACATGCTTGAACTCAAGGTGGCGATTAATAGTCACCCCTATGTCTTTCTCCTCCTGTGTTACTTGCAGCATGTGGAGTGTTCCATCTTCCCTTGTCATCGTGTATTCCTGCTTGAATTTAAAATTATGCATTTATGATACATGTAATACAAATCATGACATGATCTTTACTGTTTCAGGTGGTGTCGTAAATCAAGTCTCAACACGTGAAACAAGCAGGTGTGTGTCGATGAAGGTTAGACATCCAGGTAATACGATATGCCAAAAAACAGTTGCTCAAGCAACTGGATATGATTTTGAAAACGTCAGACGTTTCAGCTAGTATCCACTAGCTTTCGTCAGTGACTGAGAGACCAGAGGGGAAAGCAGGTTTATATACACAACCTGTTGATTGATATGCAAATAAAGTGAAGACAAATTTTTGGAAGTCGAAGAAAAAACAAAAGTCAGACAAGTCAAGACAAGATGATGCAAATTAGTCTGAAAGCTCCTGTATTACAGGACAGGAGCTTAAGTGTTGTCTGTCCTCGGGGCTGGGAGTGCCAAATCCCAAGTGCCGGAAAGATCGACCCGTAGCCCCAATATATGAAAGAATGTACAACCCCACCCTCAACAGGGAAGGGGGGCTATGGGTCGATCTTTCCGGCACTTGGGATTTGGCACTCCCAGCCCCGAGGACAGACAACACTTAAGCTCCTGTCCTGTAATACAGGA